GTCTAAAGCCAATTATGATAAGACGATGTCTTTGTTTATTGTGAATGGCCTTGTTCTGGATTCTTTTGCAGTTGTATACTTACGGTTTACAACATTTTTACAACTGCCACAACATGCTTGAAGCATACCCTTTACACTTTTTTCATCAATAGTAGCCACTACATCACAGTGGGCGAGGAAATGTATTGATAACATCAAGAAGCAAATCACAGTCAACAATAATTCTGCTCTGCATGGCTGTGGTTTACAATTAGCACTACCAGTACTAGATGTAACAGTGCTTTCTTCTGTCTGTAAAAACTGTGTCTTACATTGCCGCAGTTTCTTAGTAAATGTGCATATTGCATCTGCACCAGTGCTTGTCTGAATAGTGCTAGATTGAGTAGAGATAGCTGCAATCAGTTGCATTCGGACGTGCCCTAGCTTTAGTAAATTAGTTAGATGTGTGTATCTATTTTTAGCGAGTGTTTTGTTCTACCCATTATCGAAAGAGAAACAAATTAAATCGTCTCACTGCTTATGATAATCCACACAAACTAGTCTAAACTGTTAATAATATATTTAATTGAAATAATTATATGTTAAAATAATGTAAGTATTTCACAGAAGCTTAGAGAAACAAAACTAGATCAAACTTAGCAACACACTGAAACTAAGGGAATGTTTACTTCCGAAGCGAAACGAACAATCGCTAACTAGCTTCCGCTGTTGAATGCCAATGAAAAAATTGAGGTAAAAAATTTGCATACCAGAAAAACCCGACTTAGTAAAATAAACAACTTTATGACGTAGAAAAATAATCACATTAAAATAGGTATTTTGATTGGTCATTTAATTTTAGATTTTTAGATTAATTTTAAATTGTAGTCTACCCGGGTGCTGGCTGACACGCCTGATTCAATTTAGTGAACGACTCTAATACCCCAAGCTTGTCCGCAAAGGGAGCGGCATCTAAACTGTTATTGATTACAAATAATAATTAGTAAATAGTATGTTCAGTGTATAAAATAAATAAAAGACAGTATTTAAAATATCCGTGTTTTACCTACCACATTGCACTTTATCAATCTATGCTAATTATGTAATTATTTTTTTTCCAACACCAAAACTAACTAATAAAAAGTATTTTTCCCCCCCATGTTATTTTTTATAAAAAGGGAAGTGGTTTTTTTTTTGTTGTGATCTATCAAGGTAAGTAATTGACCCTAAAGGAACAAACTAAGTAAGTTGTACACTTTTTTCTTTCTTGTATACAAAGTATAGAGAAAATATTGTAATCGTGCATTACAAATCTTGACGTTTACACCTCATTAATTCGGAAAAACATGGTTGCAATCTTGTCCGTACGCCTGTGTGTGTGTGTGTATATGTGTCTGTGAACACAATAATTTGAGTACCGTTACAGCTAGGTTGCTAAAATTTCATACATAAGTATTATATCAAATTTGTAGTTCTGTATTAACTTTTCATCAATTTTTAGTAACCGGAAGTGGAACTTATTCTACTTTCAATTTTTTTTAAAAGCCTATAGCTTGAGCACTCTTTCAGATGTTTCACTGTTTCTATACCTTCTGTCAAATTTTGAGTTATTTCCGTTGACCGGAAGTAGAAATTTACGCTAATTCCGATTTCTAAAAAAACGGATGTAAATTTATAAAGTACTAATAATATTCCACAATATTATACACATATTGTTTCGCGTTCACTTGGTGTGCAATTCTTTTTTTCTACGAGATTCTATTATATTTTTAATAGAAAAAAAAAAAAGTAATTAAAAATGGATTCAAAATAATGTCTATATCCAGAGTTGCCATCCGTAGGAGTAAGAATTTTTGAGAAAGTTTAGGGGAGATCACTCCCGGTTTATTACTGTTACAGAATCGTACAATATGCTTTAAAACAATTGGTTTCTTTTATAAGTGGGAATGTTTACCAACTTACCAATCTAAAAAAAATAATTCTATACCTTTTGGTCCCACCCTTGCCCCCCCTCAGCTACGCCTCTGAGTTGTACTTAACTTGAGTACAATTTCAGTTATGTGGCCGAAATTTTAAATGTAACAATAAGATCCTAGTCCCTTGATTCTATCAAATTTTAAATTATTTCTGGTGAACTAAAGTATTACGCTATTTTAAATTTCTGAAAAAAGATAACTTCTACCGGAACAATTTCTGAAAAAGAGTTTTCACGTGGGTCAAGACTCTATGACAACGCACTGTGACATAAAATGTGACTTAATAATAATTAGATGTTTAATTTAATTTTCTAAGAATTGATTATAGTTTCATAATATAGTACTCATTTTTCACTCTATTATTATTATGTACAGTTTATGTCCATTTGCTGCAGTTCCCTATTCTATTCTTACTTTATTTTTTTAAATCAACAAAAAACATTTCTATACCCAGATTGCATGAAAGTGCCATACCCCTTACTATTATAAAAGAACTAGCTGCATACCCGTGCCCCGCCACGGTAAATCTTTTTTAAATGTACAAACTTGGGAACAGAACAAAACAAACAAAAATACAACACAACCACAACACAACCTAAACACAACCACAACATAAGAATCACCACCGAACAACACGCTTGCCTAGGCACCCGCGCCCAAAGAGAGCATTTCCAGCATAAAAAACAAACAAAACACAACACAACCACTAACAAAACACAACCACAACATTAGAATCACCACTGAACAACACGCTTTCCTAGGCGTCCGCACCCAAAGAGAGCCATTCCAGCATAAAAAACAAACAAAAACACAACCACAACACAACCATTAGAATCACCACTGAACAACACCCTTTCCAAGGCGTCCACGCCCAAAGAGAGCCTTTCCAGCATAAAAAAATTAAGTCTCATAAATAGATCCTACTCCATAACTTTCAATAAAACATGCGATGTAAATAACTGTACGGCAAGTGGTGTTTACTTTTATGGTTCTAAGAAAACACATTGGCAATGTAATTAGAATCACCACAGAAAAACACACTTTCCCAGGCATCCGCGCCCAGCGTTCTCTATACTATAATTCTAAAATTTCACCATCTGTTAACACCGAAAAACAAAAAACAAAAAAAATAGTGATTTTGAGAGATCATAGACTAATTAGAAAATTATATAAATAATCTTAACATTTTTCTATTTTCCTTATGAACCTTAACATATAATAATCAATGCACCCTGCCCGAGCACCGGCGGACGCGCCTGGTTTAGTGAACGACTATAAAAACCCCAGCTTGTACGCAAACCGAAAGATAGAATAATAATTATTAAACAGTACGTTAAGTGCATACAATAAATAATTGGCAGTATTTAAAATATCCGTGTCTTACCTACCATGATATTGCACTTTATCAATTCACGCCTTTTTTTTTTCAGTACTTTAAATTTTAAAAATTTACAATAGAGTTTCATAACTAAAACAATTGCGCACCCAATGAACGTGATGACGCGTCTATAATAGTGCGGAATAGTTGATTAAAAATTATAAGTAGTAAATAAATAAAAGATTGCCTTTTATCAATCCATGCTAATTATAATTTTCTAACAATTTCCTCTTACACATCCGCATAATTTGCATTCACATTTTGCTAATTATATTATTGCAACACTAATTCCTTCTAGGACGTCCGTAGATTTGCATTCATATTTTTTTATTAGCGTGAGTTAAATTTATTTTTAAATTACCCCCCTTGCCAAAATTAGAAAAAAATAATTAAATTAATTTAATTTTTCTACCCTACTGTTATTACATTATTAAAATGTATCCAGTTTTTCTAGGAATATAAGCGAAAATGATATTTGACATTGATTCTTTTAATATGTTTTAGGAATGTGCGTGTATTTAATATTTTCTTTACGTTATGCAAAAGAGTAAAAACAGTGGCACCTATAAAATAAATTTATGTCGTTATATAAACAAACCCTACTCTATTACTTATAATAAGACACTGCGGTGTACTGAGCAGCACTGCATGGTGCGATGTTTACTTTTATGGTTACAAAATCTATAGCGAAGGAAGGAAGGACTGACACACTCTCAGCCCACTTATATTATAGATATACAAAAAAGTTTAAGGGAGATTACTCCCACTTTATTTTATAATGGATTTCATAATAAAAATAAACCGGGAGTGATCTCCCCTAAACTTTCTCGAATATTCTTATATAAAACAGGGGATGGGAACTCGGGATATAGTTATGATTTTTAATCCATTTTAAATACATAAACTTTTTAAAATAAAATCTCATAGAAAAAAGTATTGCACACCAAGCGAACGCCAAATAAAGATGTTCATAATGGTGCGCAATATTATTAGTACTTTATAAATTTAGATGCGTTTTTGAGAAATCGGAAATAGCGTAAATTAGTACTTCCCGTCAACGAAAATTACTCAAAATTTAACAGAAGGTAGAGAATTAGATCTTTTACTTACATGTGAAATTTCATTTATCTATCTGAAATAGTACTCAAGATATAGGCTTTTGAAAAATTTAAAGGAGAAAAAGTACCACTTCCGGTTATCGGAAATCGCTCAAAAGTTGATACGGATCTACGATTTTGATAAAATACTTATATATGAAATTTCATCAACCTAGCTGTAACGGTACTCAAGTAATCGTGTTTACACACACACACACACACAGACATACGGACAAGATTGCAAAATTATGTTTTTCCGTATCAGTGAGGTGTAAAACGACGAGATTTGTAAAAATCTCGATTTTTTTTTTTAAAATACTTTCTCTATACTACGTATATATGAGAAAGTAATAATTAGGGGCAGGTGAAAAATGTGTTGTTGTTTTTTTTCAAATCAAAGCACTGCAAATTTCCTGGTGGCCCACCTGGAATTTTTCTTGGCATCTCACCAGGATTTTTCCCAGTGTCCCCATCCACCCATAACAGCCAGAAAAGCAATGACAATTCATTTGTGGGATATATTCTATTATACCAATAGTAGTATCAACTTGCTACAATGATTTCACTTACCTTTCCAGAAAGGAAAAAACATGGAGAAAATTCCAAGTACACCTTTTTGA